ACAGATGTGTTGTTGGGGTGAGGAGTTCCCAGATACATCCATTTCTTTACAAGTGCTCAGAGCTCCCGCTGAAAAGAGGTGGGCCTAGGCCTAGGCCCATTTAGGCCCCTTTGTTCTGGAAACAACGGATCCATAGGTAGGCAAGTTGGCTCAGCTAAGCCAATCAGATTCCTTGACGAAATTTCGAGTTAAGAGGCACAGAGACTCTGATGAAGATGAATTGGAAACTTTAAGGTTGTGGAGAGCTGGAGCTGGAAATGGTGACAGGACAGCACAGGCTGTGTAGAAACAGAAGTTGGGGGTGAGAACACTCTGAAGCATGTGCAGAGAAAAGGAATGTCTTCCAGATGAAGTGGAAACAGATGTGAGAGGAAAAGATGAGGCCATAGGGCCCCAGAGAGAGGGCTGTCCTGTTCCCTTGTCGTGTGCCATTGAGTTGGAACCGACCCACAGCAGAGCCTCCGCTGGGCTCTCAGAGTCAGTTAACCACATGGGAGGAATTAATTGCCCATCTTTCTTCTTTAGAGCAGCTGGTAGATTTAAACTGTGTATCATTGGGGCTGCTGCACAGCTTCTTACCACTAGGCCACCAGAGCTCCCTGTCCTGCCCTCTAGTCCATAGTAATACATTCTAGGATAGGCAGCTATGGTTTTCTCTTTAACAGTATCTGCTATGTGGGCTGGCTTTGATGGGTTCATTTCCTGCAAGGGATCCTTCCCCATCAATGATACTTTGTATCTGGTCTCATTTAAGGAATGTTGCAATTTCTCATTGGCCTCAGAGCTAATGGAAAGGATCCAGGTGGGAAGCTCTTCCTGGAGACAGAGCTGCAAGGAGCACTGAGTGAAAACAGGTGGAACAGTCACTCACCTTCTCCCCAGGAATGCCAATGGGTCCCTGAGGGCCAGAAATGCCCTGGAGACACACACACACACACAAAAAGAGAAAGTTAAGGGAGGGCACTAAAAAATAGAGGTAAGCTCCAACACTGGGGACCTGGGGCTCACCCAAGACTTGGCTGACAATCACCACCCCACCCCCAGACACACACACATACATCATTACTGGGAAGGAGAACGCAAACCTGGGATCCATGGTTCCCCTGCTGTCCTGGGGGGCCTGGTTCTCCCGGAGGACCCTGGAGAGGAAGCACAGGTCCAGAGAATGGGTTCACAGTGTTGATGTACCAGTGAAGTTGAATTGGGGGTTCATGGCAGTAGATAAGGGTATGAATGATCACAGGGGGACACAGAGATCAGTAAAGAGTCATGGGGCCAGGGTGTCCAAAAGGGTCAGAGGTCACAGGGTCGGGCACATACCACATTTCCTTTGGCACCAGGAGCCCCATCAATTCCAACTACACCCTGTGGGAAGAGAGGGTGTGAGCCCAGGACAGGGAGGCAGGAAGGAGCTTGTGGAGATGCTGAGGCTTGTAGACAGAAGAGTAGGCAGAGATCCTGGGCAACAGAAATGGACATGCAGAGGAGAGAAGAGAGGAAAAGCCAAGCAGGGATGCAGAGGGATAGTGTCATCTCACCGGACGTCCCGGGGGGCCAGGGGAGCCCCTGGGGCCGATCATTCCTCGGGGACCCTGAAAAAAAAGTAAAAGCATTATCTCCACAGAACCTCTGAGTCTTGTTCTGAAGCCTTTAGAGTTACTCCAGGCAAGGGGTCCAAGGGCCCTGCACACTCACCGGCTCCCCAGCCTGGCCAGTGGGCCCAGGAGGTCCTTGTGTTCCCTGCAGAAAAAGAGTGGTCACTTGGAGAGGAGACAGAGCCCTCGGAGAACCACCCTCCCTCAGCTGGTCAGTACTCCCAAGGGATCTGAGTCAGAGCACAAGGCCAGATGCAGCCCAGAGCTCATGTGACTCCCTTCCAGTCCCTGGCCCCAATCCTGAAATCCCCACCTCCTCCTAACTCCAAAAATACTCTCTATCCCTCGAGTCTTCCGCCCCTCCAGTGTGGCCCCTCAGCCCTCAGCCAGTCCTCTGACTCTTGGGGGGGGGGGCAGTCTCTAAACTCTCCTCCACACTTACCTTCTCACCATCCTCACCTGGAGGACCAGGTTGCCCCACGTGGCCAAAGTCGCCCTGGAGTGGGGAACACAAAGGAGGTCAGAGTGGACAAGCTGTGGCTGTCAGTCACCCAGGAAAGTGGATCAGGCATGACAGGGGAGGACTCAGACTCAGGGATCAAGGCTGAGACGGGGGAGTGAGGACGGGATGAACATCTAGACGGGGGAAGGGACTACACATACGTACCCTTTGGCCCTTCTCACCAGGCAACCCAGGCAAACCATCAAAGCCTCGGTCCCCCTGTCCCAAGAGACACCAGCTGAATGAACCTCAAACCCTTGACCTTGACAGTTCTCCCTAGTCTCAGCCCTGGCCCTGTCACATCACTGACTTTGGGTCCTGTGTCACCTGGGAGACCTCGAGCGCCATCTGCTCCGGAGCGGCCCTGCAAGAGATGAGCCCAAAGATCAAGGATCAGCCTCACTGGTAATCCCACCTGAGATTAAAGACTCAATGGCATTATCGCTAACATAATCAAACAACCTAATACAATGCACTGGGCACCTTCCTCATGCCAAGGCCTGCATCTCAAGGGCTCCTTTGTGTACTAACTCAACCTTCCACACAGAACTTAAATTCATCTCTTATTCTTACACCCCCCCCCATCATTTTTTTTATTGTAAGAAAATACATAGTTTGAAAGTATGGATAATGCAATATTTATGACCAAGATATGGGACTGAGAGGAGGGGGGAAGGGACGTAAAAGAACAAAAGATCGAGATGATCTGATTGAGAGACAGTGTTTACCTCCAAATAATAAATTGGAAAAGGAGGGGGTGGGGAGGAAGAGGAGGAAGAAGAAAAAAATTTTGATCCGAGAAAAAGTGAAAATACAATATGAAAATAAGTAATACTTCTCCTTAAATTCCTTCTATACACAAAATACACGATTTGCCAAAGCCCAACTTGTGCTACTGGGATTCTGTGAGTTCCTTGAGTGTATTCACATTCTCTGCTACAGCAGAAAATGATTATGATCCAATCAGACTATTCCAGAGACAAGGAAATTCTGGTCAGCAGGTGCTTAAAAATCACAAGATCTCTTCACCCCACCCACCCCACCCCAGCCCCCCAAAAAGTCATAACATGTCACCACTGGTATGTCCATCACAATGAAGTTTCTGTAAAATGTATCATACTTTCAATCTTTAATGAAACTTTTGGTTTTTTTAATTTTTTTGAATTACTATTCCTGATGAATAAATTAAAAAGAAAATAAAATAATGCAGCAGCTAGTTGAAGTGTAAGGCTGTGGATAGTGTTTCTCTCTCCCCCTTGATATTTTATTATTGATTTGTTTTATTTCAGTATCTTTTTATTTTGCTTTCCTTTCACAGCATCCCTTATTCTTGATTCAAGTGTCTTTGCTTTCATCTACATCAGTTATCACCAAAACCAACTATTTGGTAGCATCTTGTCCATTATTTCCTCCTTTGCCCATGCTGTTCCTTCTGTTTCAAATACTCTTCTCTCCCCTTTTCATTTGGTTATAATTCAAATATTAGCTCAGCATCACCTCTTCAAGCAAATCCTTGTCATAAATTAAAGAGCTGAACCACTCCCTTCCTTCCAAGGCTCTTATCCCACCAATGACACACCAGCAGATCTAGCAATCAGAGTCAAGGCCCACGTCGATGTTGAGTGATGTCAAAGGATGACCCAGAGACCTATAAGTCACTCACCATCTTGCCTTCTCTTCCAGGAGGGCCTGGGGGGCCTTGTAGACCTCGGGGACCCTGGAAAAGGAGGGGGAAAAAGAGAATAAGTAATAAGAAAGGCATATTTTAAATAATTACCTGGGAATTATGACATTATCTCCAATCTCCTTGGCATTTTCCCCAGTCAGCTCCTTGAAGAATTTTGTACCCAATCTGACCCCTTACCACCACCAGTCTCACCTGCGGTCCCATTTCTCCCATCTCTCCTTTCAGACCTGGATACCCGGGGAGACCCTTGAAAGATGAGAGAGAGGGAGGTCAGTGGAAGGAAGTGACCCCTCCTCACTGATAAGTTTCCTCCTCTATAAAACCTTCTTACTCACCATGGGGCCTGGGCGGCCAGTAAGCCCCACTGGGCCAGGGGGGCCTTTCATGGAGAGCTGTTGAAATAAAAGACAGAATCTGAGGTCTCCCACAAGAGCGTCAATACTCCTCACAGAGTCACATGAGGAGAGTGCATCCCCAGTGTTCTGACAGCCCGTCCTTAGCCCCTATCCCTGCCATTCTCTTTGTTGTCTTCCCATTGTCTCTCCTGAGTCCTCTATCTTCCTGCTCACCTGAGCCTGTTGTAGCACTGCCTGAGCCTGGGCCTGCTGGAAGGATATTGATGGTCCTTTGAAGGAACTGCTTGCATACTGGAACTGTGGAGCAAACTGGTGGTGAGAGGAGCCCCCAAGCAGATGCCCACTTCTGAATCAGGGGACCATGCCCCATGGCTGTGCCCCCCTATGTCCTTCTTACCGGCATCATAATCACAGTGCCTGGTAGACCTCGGATCCCGTCCATGCCAGGGGCCCCTGGAAGGCCAGCAGGACCCTAAGACAGAGATAAGCATAGATATGGAAGAAAGGGTGGAGGTTGAGATAGGTGGAGATGGGAGAGAAGAGAGAGGGAGGGAAACAGAGAGAAGGATGGAGACAGAGGGATTGATGGAGGCAGAAAGAGAGAGAAGGTAACAGGGAGAGAGAGGGAGGGAGAGATGCATAGACAGTGACAGACACCAAAATAGACAAAGAGATGTTGAAACAGAGACAGAGGCAGCAGCAGACAGATGATACACAGAGAAACAAAAATGAAAGACACTCACAGATTGAGAGGACCAGAGGGGGAAAGGCAGGGGGAAAGTGCCCAGAGAGAGAAGAGAGATCAGAGATAATCCAAAAATGAGGAGAGGGGTAAGCAGGAGAATCGGTTAAGATCCAGGGCTGTGTCCCCAGCCCCAGCTGTCAGACCCACATTCAGAGTGTCTTGTTCCCAGCCTCGATCTAAATACCTCATCTCTTTAGATAGACACACCCCAGGGGCATTTCTTACCGGTAGCCCACGATCCCCAGGAAATCCTGGGGGACCTGGAGGACCCAAGGGGCCATCCACTCCCTGTTGAGAACAAAGACACAGAGGTCACATTCAAGGTTTGAAGCAGGTTGTCACCTGACCTTCCACTGACATGGACCCCACGTTAACATAATCACCCCTCACTCTTCAATACTTTCATGGCACACATCAAAGTCCCAGCTTTATGCTCCAATCCCTGTTTTGACTCATTCACTGAGACTCAAATGTCAACTCATCAGGCAACATTACACATCAACTCCCCCTCCAAGGGCTCAGCATCTCAATTGGAAGGGAAAGAGAGGACAAGAGAAAACATTGGCATGACTCACTCGAGGTCCTGGGGGTCCTGGAGGCCCCTCAAACTGCTGTCCCTGAGGAGAGAAATGTGTGTGAGCCCCAGCCCAGCCTAGACTCCTCAAACTTCTCCCAATCCCAGGCCCCTTCACCTGTTCAATCACAGCTGGTTCACCTTTTGCTCCCTTCTCTCCAGCTTCCTACGAGAGAGGGGAAGAAGAAAGAGATGTGAACCTTAGAAGCTCAGTGAGTGGCCTGACTTTTACACTTGTCTTCTACAGCCTGCCCACACACGAAGGGACCACGCTCAGAGATGCCCTGGCGTCCTGTCTGCAATCAGAATCAACCTGGCAGAGTGGCGCCGAGGTGAGAAGCATGAGCTGTAGACCCTGCAGGCCTGACCTTAAATCATAGGTCTACCAGTTACTAGGTGAGTGACGCAACGTGGGTTCCCCTGGCCTCATCTGTAAACTTGATTCCCTTGGCCTCCTCTGTAAAGTTGGTGAGTAAATGACACTTGTCTATACCCCATATGAAATTGAATAAACTTAAAAGAATTCCTGGAATATTTTTTTTTAAAAAAACAAAACACTGAAAGTAAATTAGTGATGAGGTTTCTTTGTAGAATGTATCTGAGCCTATATTTTGTTATTGTCATTTGCTTGGAAGGGTGGAGAGACAGCGCCGGAGAGGAAGACCCAGGATGAGACGGACTGATTGATACAGTAACTGGTTCAATGGGGGTAAGTGTGTCGGAGTCAGCGAGACTGGCTCAAGACAGGCAGAATTCAGAGCTGATGTACCAAGGGTCACTGTGAGTCACAGGTGACTCAACAGCACAGAGCAACAACAATTTTAATGAAATTTAATAGAGCATATTGATTTTTCATCAAATTGTTCATACTCATCTGTTTTAGCATTTTAATCATAACACCTACGGTGTAATTTCACTTTCCCCACTTCCTGTCAGTCCCATTTCCATTAAGCTTTTCAGCCTACCCCTTCCTGCATTCCAGACTACATCCTTGTGCAGATCTCTCTCTCTCAATCTCTCTCCCTCTCTTCTCTCTCTCTCTCTCTCTCTCTCCTCTCTCTCTCTCTCCTCTCTCTCTCTCTCTCTTCTCTCTCTCTCTCCTTTTATTTCATTTTATATTTGTTTTGCATACAAAGTTCAGGTACATTGTGTTTCATTCATATTCATTGAGTTCACACACTCTTTTATTCACATTGTATTTCATATGGTCATCCTTATATATTGCATTTTATAAAACCAATCACCATTGATCTATGTCCACTATCTTCCCATCATTTCAGGTTCACACTGGATCTTTTCCAAGTCCTTCACCCACCCCACCCCACCCCCTCCTTCCACCAAACTCTGTGACCCTGTGGCTTCCCCATCTTCCTCTCTTTAGCCCTCCAGCCCCAGCCCTTCCCCATTGGGACTTTTCTACACATCTTGCTAGTTGTCCTTCTGTTTTTACAATAATGGTCCTATGCAGTATTTGTCCTGATGAGACTGAGTTCATTCATTCAGCATAGTGCTCTCCAGCCTCTCCCATGTTGTATAGTGTTGTTTTGTTTTGTTTTTTAAATCGTTGCTCCTGAGTGTTGCAAAGTATTCCACTGTGTGAATGTACCACAGTTTGTTTTAATCTTGGGTAACGAGGCATTCTAAAGAGTGAATGCCTCCCCGGATTTATTGGTCACCTGATAAGCCTGCCTATTTTGGGGGCTGCAAGCTGAGCAGTAGAAATGTGGTTTTTTCCAGAGTCAAAGAGTGACTAGCAGTATTAGGAGTTCCATCAATCTCTATTAGATAGTTATGATTATTTACCTCCTCCCTATCAAATTCCAAAACAGGAGCCCAAGTCCCATTTTTTTGGTCTGCATTATTATTTTTTAATAATTTATTTTCTTGTTGCAAACACACACAACAGAACAAACACCAATTCAAATATTTCTACATGTACAATTCAGTACAGGTAGAATTACATTCTTCAAGTACATTCAAAATCATTCAGGATTTTTTAAATTATTATTATTATTATTATTTTGCATAGAATAACCCATATACATTGTGTTGAATTTGTGCACTGGGACAATCATTTTTATCTTCATTTTCCAATTTGCCTCTCATTCACACTCACTGCCCCCTGAGTTTCCTTTCTAATCTTTGAGTTGCTGGTGTTAATTTGATCTCATACAGATAAATCTTTAAAGAGTGCAGTGCTTAAAGCCGACATTCTTTACTAGTTAGGATAAATTATCACTTAGTCTTAAGAAGACTTCAGGGGATATCTTTGATTTAATGTTTAAGATTATCTCAGGGCAACGATTTCAGAGATTCATCCAGATTCCATGATTCCATAAATCTGGATTCCATGAGACTTTGAAATTCTGTTCTGCATTTCCCCATTTGTCTGCACTTTTTTCCTGGGATAATTTCATCCAATCCTTTGACTAGCATTACCCTTTCTTGACTGACGAATCTCAAATCTTTCCCTCCAGCTTCAGCCAGAACCTGAACACGAGAATCTTCTAACCACCCACCCACTTCTTTTTATTTGGATGAAAACAGAAGTTTCCAGCATAACATGTGTGAAAGTGACCTTGGACATGTTCCACTTGCCCCTCCTTCAGGATTCCCCATCTTAATCAATAGTCCCACTGTGCAAACATCTCTCTCTTCATCCAGCACCGAGACCAGGATGGAGCAGGTCCCAAATCACCCACTCCTCTGCAGCCCCATCCTCATCTCCCCTACCCAGGTCACCATCCTTTCTACTTACTTAGTTGTCACTGAGTTGATTCTAATTTGCCACCACCCCACGTGTCGGAAGAGAACTGTGCTCTATAGTGTTGTCAATGTTTGGTCTTTCATAATTAGATCACCAGGCCTTTCTTCCAAGACACCTGTGGGTGTGCTTGAACTACCAACATTAAGGAGAGCTGCAGAATGCTTTAACTGTTTGTTCTCTACCTAGTTGCTCTAGTCCTGTTAGTCTTCAAGTTTCTCTGATGCCCCTCTAGCTCCCCCTACAGTTCATTTGCCACACAGAGCCA